TCTGAGGAGGGATTTGGTAGACACAAATTTGTGTTTGGGTGTGGATCTCTAGTCTAGTGACACTGAACTCCTTGAAAACAGCCAATGCTCTCTTCTTCCTCAACATCTCCACCACTGAGACAGGTACAAACCAAGTGACGGTGAAAGATCCAGTCCCAATGCTGTTCAACATCATGGCACATGTCTGAAGGTCGTAGCTGCTGGCATATCGTCTCCTGAACTTCTCCACATCCTCCAGTGTTGCAGTCTCGGGCCAGTCAAACTTGACTACCATCTTCCTGAAGCCAGGTGGAGGATCTTCATCGAGCAGCCGAGGGTCAGCCTCACAGAACAGAACCAATGTCGTACGCTTTTTAAACTCTTCCAGATCCTTCTTGTACACAGCCATCTTATCAGCAACCGTCTGGAACCAGTTATGCTTCAATGCAAGCTCTTCGACCAGATGCTCCAAAAGGCCGTAGGAGAGGTAGGTCCAGTACAGATTCAGCTTCCCAAACAGCTCCCAGTGATTGCTGCTTTCACTGAGTGACTTCTGTTTCTCCTCAAGAAATCCTTTGTGTTCCTGTACTGTCAGAATGGTTGTGAGAGTGTAGACTACTGTCATAACAGCAACTCTACGCTTCTCCAGGCCATGGATTGTCAGCTCCTTCAGGGAGTTGAATCTTCTGTGCAGACACTTGATTTCAGCCTCCACCGCTGCAACTGTGCCTGTGGCTAAAGCAAAGATATTTAAAGTGGCTGATGATGGTACATAATGCTCTCACCAGTGGTATGGCTACGTTGAGAGGATGGCTCAGACTTCACCTTATCATCATCACCAGCAGTAGTGTTGACTGCAGACTCTTTGGTGTCTGCGAGAATAGAGATATTTCTAGCTAAAGAATATGAGTGGAGCAGTCTCAGGTACCACATTACGTGTTGCGGTAGAGTCAGGGAAATGAGCTGCTTCCACTCTCCTAGCCAGAGCCGTTAGACCGACTGCAGGATTCTTGAGAGCATCATCACCAACAGTAGTGTTGCCTGCAGACTCTGGGATGATAGAGACATTACCAGCTAAACCAGCAAGAGAGCTATTGAGTGGACCTATAATGGTAACATACCAGTAGTAGTCTTAGGTACCACATCGCGTGTTGCGGTAGAGTCAGGGAAATGAGCTGCTTCCACCCTCGCAGCTAGACGTGGTAGGTTGACAGAAGCACTCCTGAGAGCTTCCACAATGACCCTCCATGTCGGTCTGGTCTTGATTTGCTTCGTGAAGGCAAGAAGAATGTGCAGCAGACGGTGTAAGGGATTCTGGTATTGGTCGTGAATCGCCTCCACCTCGTGTGGCGGCAGTAGCTTGAGCCCGAGCACGTAGGAGTGATTTTGCGCTTCAACAAGCTCGTCCAAAATTCCCGTCACGTCGTATGATTTCAACGTCTCGTCGACCGCTGGGGCTGCGCAAGCAACTAATATTATACAGCATATTCACCCTCTGTGATTGCCCACCTTCCGCCATCTGTAAGAGCAGTATGAGTTGCTGTGGAGAGAAAAGTTGATCGGCTCCGTTGTTTACCTTAGTCCCGCGGCACCGCCCTGTCTATAATTATACGCATGCGGAGGAGTAAATACACACCGATAAATACGCACGAGCAAAGGAGGTTGCGCACAATCAACATTCCTAAGCTGTCGGCGCATGCAGAAGTATAATGTAATCAATTATCGTAGCTGAAGTGGCTCTGGCTGGTGTTCAAGCGGGCCAAGACCTTGCTATCTCTCGATTGTTTATATGTCCAAGTGTGTACCACTGATAACACTCGTAGGCTTGCAAACGGCAGTGTGCTGTTCTGCAGAAAGTGCTGACTCCGCGGGTTGACTGGGTTGCGTGGGCGAACATACAACTCTAAGGCGCACGTGACGCAAGCGATGACGCGCGCGTGTGCACTCATGCACACCAAGTTTCACCTCCATGCGTGCTACAATTAGCAAGTTTGAGAAGTGAAGAAGTAATTTAAAGAAAATTGCCTGAGGCTATTTGTTGTTGTGGTCTTCATGGAAACGATGTAATACACATCCGCACTAAGTTTCATCTCCATGCGTGCTACAGTTAGCAAGTTTGAGGAGTGAAGAAATAATTTTAAAGAAAAGTGCCTGAGGCTATTTGTTGTTGTAGTTGTCATGGAAACGATGTAATACACATGCGCACCAAGTTTCACCTCCATGCATGCTATAGTTAGCAAGTTTGAGGAGTGAAGAAGTAATGTTAAAGAAAAGTGCCTGAGGCTATTTGTTGTTGTAGTTGTCATGGAAACGATGTAATACACATGCGCACCAAGTTTCATCTCCATGCGTAATACTGTTAGCGAGTTTGAGGAGTGAAGAAGTAATAATAAAGAAAAGTGCCTGAGGCCTTTTCGAACAATATGCGGTCGTCATGCAAACATGTAATCGTCATGGAAATGATATAATAGGCATACGTACCAAGTTTCATCTCTATGCGTGCTACCATTGGAAAGTTTGAGAAGTGGAGAAGTTAATTTAAAGAAAAGTGCCTGAGGCTATTTGTTGTTATTTACAAACATGTATTGTTGTGATTTTGATGTTGGCTATTGAATACATTGTGTATACAAACTTTCGCTCGCATAACTCTTACCAATTGTGAGTTACACTGACACATGTAGTATGCCCATTATAACGTATTGCCCATTATAATGTTTAAATGGAATGTGGCAGTATAAATGTTACTAAAACACAACAGGGACACGGTGAAAGAATGCTTGCTTTTTAGTAACCTTTAGCCCCTGCAACAATATAGGGATTGTGTGATGGGGTCGGGGTGTCTGCGTGCTCAAATCTGTTCATTAACCATGCTTCATGTATCCCATCCCTATCTTGTCTCCCTATCTTTTTATACAATCCCTATATGCCTCTTTTTAAAAATTCGGAGGATTTTTTATTTACTTGTACTATTATGGATTCTTCTGTCCCACTGTTGTTGGATTAGAGAGGGTTCCCCTGTATTTGCACTGAGACAACTGTACATTTAAAAAGTGTTATAGCTAAAATAATATTCAGCATAGTTGCACAGGTGCATAATTAGGACAGGATCACTGAGATAATTATTTGAAAACGTGTGCATAAATCTAGAAACCAGGAAGTATGTCATTCTATTAGAGGGTTGGTAGACGTATATGGATGGCAAATCTCAGAGTGATCTGCAAACAAACAGTCTCAAAACTCTGTGAGAATGACTCGATATGCCTTTAAGGGGATACCTTACCATGCAACGAACAAGAAAAATATTCCTTTGATATTAGGTTTTGGTGGATGTGATGTACTAGCCTATGTTGGGTCTAGGCAGCATGCGTGCCCTGCGCATACGTCCAGCTTGGGAAAACATAATGACTCTCTTTTACGAGCACGAGTTACAAATGACAGTGACTGTGTAATGACCAATGACGTCATGACTTCATGTGAGAGCATACACGTAATCACATACATACACTACAGTGGATCATTCTCGTACAAAAAACTGACACGCAGTGTCTCCTATTATGAGAGTTGAAATGTTGTGTATTATATATGAGAGAATGGGAGTTGGACACAAGAAGTGCATGAAACTATACAACAACAAATTCTTCAACACTACCTAGTGTTGTGAACAAAAGGGAATTATGACATAATCCAAACCTCTGACAGCGTCTATCGTTGACTTACACTGGTAGTTTCACTAGCTCAGTCATGGGAGGACCGTCTCTCATTGGACAAGAACTCACGTGATGGTGAAAGGCAGCCAGCTCTCCCTGCCAGCCACACCCTCTGTCCTCGTGATGACAGAACACACGCAGCGAGTTCACTTGACGCCGCAAGTGCTTGTTAAACATTGTGCTCCAATCTTCCTCCTTGCACAGCGGACATGCTCCTTCCTTTCCCTTTATCCTGGCAGCAGCTTCTTCTGAGAGATGATTACCACAGCATGATGTGAAGTGAGGCTGGAGCAGAAGACCAGTTGTCACTGGACAGAAGATGTCATCTGCTCCTTAACAAATGGATAGTATTCATCCACTGACGACACTTGGTCTGGCTCTTTGTTAAAATAGCGCATTAGATGGACCAAAATGTTAAACTACCTTTTGTTGGCAGCATTAGACTTAGCAATTGCGGAGCTGTCACTGATGGTTGAGGGTGAAGCCACCCGCATTCAGAATAGACTCTGATGTCTCGTTCATAATGCATCGTAGGACCACACAAAGTCACAGAACATTTGCGGTGAACATACTATGACGCATATCATTTGGCCTTTCGCGACGTGTGAAACAAAATTGCAGGGACTGAAAACAACCTTTTCGGTTATCTGCTCGTTACAAAACTTTGTGTCACAGGCTCAAGCGAGGTAATATAAACAACCAGGCTCAAGACTACGCGTCGGACAAGTCTGGGCACGCGCAGAGCTTACAATCCGAGTTATACAATCCCCACCCTTTTCCTCGCCCTTCTCCGTGGCCGAAGGTTAGTTGTAGCTAATAGTCAGACGTTACGAAAGATGCACTTTGCAATAATACAGCCCCAGCTGGCGATGGCGTGCTAACACCAGATGATGCAGTGGACGTGTTGGAGGAACTACTGCCGGCACAGGTCCTACGAGCTGGGGCTCAAGTTGAAACTGCTGCAACACGTCGTGGAGGCCATCCATTTTAAGGATATTCCGGCTGATAAATGCCTTCTTAGAATTTTGATTAAGTTCCTACAGCAAGTAAACCCCAGACCAACATGGAGGGTCATTGTGGAGGCTCTCAGGAGTCCTTCTGTCAACCTACCAGGTCTAGCTGCGAGGGTGGAAGCAACTCATTTCCCTGACTCTACCGCAACACGCGATGTGGTACCTGAGACTATATACTACTGGTATGTCACCAGCGCCACTCATAGTTCTCTTACTGGTGAAGCTAGTAATGTCTCTATCATCTCAGGAAAAAAATATGCGGGCAGAACCACAGATGGTGATGATGAAGTCAAGTCAAAGCCAACCTCTCAACTGAACCTCCCCTGCCCAGTCTCAGGTGAGTAAACTTCCGAACAGCATTCCGAAATGGGCGTATTAAATGCACCCTGTCAATGCTTTCTCGTATTTTGCACTTTGTTTCAAAGGATTGTGGGTAGTATCTTTGTGCCTTTGAAAACATGCTGTTGTGTGAGCTTGGGTGTCCTAGAAGCGCAAGCAATTGGCAGCGTTTAACTGTCTGATTAAAGCACAGCATTAGGGTGAAGTATAGTTTTTGAGAATGGTCACTGTCCATAAAGTCGCGAAAGATAAATCTTGCCACGTTATTGTGTGCAAGTTGTGGAAACAAAAGTACCACAAAGATCACACAGTAAGCCAATGATTGCTTTAAATTCATTATTAATAGATAGTGGCCATGGTGGTGTGATTAATATTCCATCATCAAGTGAAGAAGTCAACAAGATGATCACGGATTTGGAGAAAATCTTCGACAGTCTCAAGAACACCGTCAGAAAAAGTCTCGAGGATCGCGGGGTTCAAGTAAAGAGAGCTGCAGATGTCCTGACATCACTGTCTGCTTATGAAGACGACAATACCAGAATGTTCGCTGAGAGCCATGTGGGTGTTCTCTTCAAGGCTGCCGACATCCCTGAACTGTTTGGAACTATGAACTTCCACTGGAACTACCTCAATCCCCCTCCCCTTGACCACCTGGTGAAAATGTTTGATCTCGACGAAGTTAAACCTCAGATGGAGGCCTACAAGTTCCGTCTGCAGCAGTTCAGGAAGACGCCATTAACTATGTTCTGCCAGACACAGAAGAGAAAGAGACTAAAACCACCAGGAGAATTCCGAGAGATGGTTGCTGAGTTTGATTGGCCAGAGAACGTCACACTGGAAGTTGCGGAGCAGTTTCGACAGGAGTATGCCTCTGACTACAACCTGCGAAAGTGCGCCATGATGATTGCACAAGTTCGCCCTGGTTCCTTCATCATCACCTGGTTCATTCCTGAATCAGTCGTTGAGAAGTTGAAGAAAGAAGTGCCCAGAGCAATTCTGAAGAAATATTCAGCCACTAAGCTGGAGATTGCTGGGGCCTGTGTCTATCGCTCACGTAAACCTCAGGAGGTGAGTGTGACTGACTGTAGCAGCAGTGTCTGATGACAACAGTTCCACTCTAGCAGAAGGTGCCTGTTACCCCATCAACCAGCAGTGGTCCAGCCAGTGCAGCATCAGTCCCAGCCACTCTTCCAGGGTATGTGACTGATCTTTCAGAGACAATAGAGTGTTCAATTTACTCTGTTTTCAGAGCTACACCATCTGTCAGTCAATCTAAACCGTCTTCAGAGGAAGAGTATCTGTTTGTCGAGTAGCCATCTGATGATTTTTTATGTCCAGTGATGATGGGTCTCCTGCTTCATCCCCATCTCACGTCATGCTGTGGTAATCACCTCTCAGAGGAAGCTCCTGGCAGGATAATGGGAGAGGGAGGGGCATGTCCGCTCTGTAATGTGCAGAATTGGAGCACAGTCTTAAATAAACATTTCCAGCGTCAAGTGAACTCGTTGCGTGTGTTCTGTCACCACTGACAGGGGGTGTGGCTGGCAGGGAGAGCTGGCTGCCTTTCACTATCACGTTAACTCTTGTCCAATGAGAGACGGTCCTCCCATGACTGAGCTAGTGAAACTGCCAGTGTAAGCCAGTTACACAGACAGGCTCTGTCAGTGATGTAAATACATTCTTCCTAGCCATCTGTGCCGCCACTTATGTGCATATTTTATACTCCTTTAGATACCGAGAGGCAGTCTCTGAAGCCAGCTCCCTTTCATCTGGAACTAGCACTGGAACTAGCACTGGAACTAGCACTGGAACTAGCACTGGAGCCAGCACTGGAGCCAGCACTGGAGCCAGCACTGGAACTAGCACTGGAGCTAGCACTGGAGCTAGCACTGGAACCAGCTCTCCCACGGTACATGGGAACTTCCTACAGCGTATATACCTTTCAGCTTTTAGTCAAGCATTGTACCCTAGGCACACGTGTCGTTTGCGTGTATTTGTGTATGTCATAACATATGGTCCCTGCACCTGGACCCTCGAAAATTCAACACCACTGGAACATTCAATGCAAAGTTAAATCATTAGAATACCATTAGTGTGATACTTGTATCAACAGTTTACACAGTAGCTTCCGGAGCTCAGGCAGGAAGTGTAAGGCAGGGTAATGGAGTAATTATGTGAAAGTATGTAAGGGATAAATTTATAGAGATAGTAATAGGGGCACCGTAAAAGAATGTACTGTAATTTTAAATTTAAATCATAGATTTACATTACAGCCACATTCCTTTTTATTTCTTGTGTTCCACAATAATGCACACCTATATTGGTTGCAGTGTTTATAGCATAATCACCTACACCTAGAACTGTATCTGTATTCATCATACTACAGGAGGAAGAACTCAGCCAGTGTCTAACTGGACTGAGAGATTTAGAGACTCCGAGAACAAATGTCAGTCCTGAATTGAGTATTTGATGTGTATGTCATAACGTTTTTGGCATGGTCCTTGCCACCTAACATGTGGGGCAAGATATTACAATATTAATGTACTCCACCTATACCCTCGAAAATTCCAACGCATGGAAGCTTCAGTGCCTCAATCCCAGAGTTGACTATCTTCCATAAGAAAATCTGGATCACAGTCTTTTATATAGTAGTGTTTTTAGAAATTCTTCTGCTCTCTGCTGCACTGCTCGGCAAATGCTCCACCCTAGTGGCTAGGCCTAACCCAACATGATACTAAGATTGTGTTAGCTTCGTACGGCCTTCAAGCCCTAAACGTCCTTGTAGCTATCAAGTGCTTCGATAGTATTGTAAAAAACGTGCACTGATTTTTTGTCATCACCATCTTCTGAAGATGATGATGACACGAAAATCACCTTACTTTTTTGTAAACAATATTATTATTATGTGCGCACTTTCTCTTTTTTAGCTAAAAGTACGATGTGAACGTAAGGAGTCAGCACCCTTTAAAGGTCAGAGAGGATGTGCAGCAACAGATGGTAGATGTGCGTACTTCATTGTCGACAATTCGACCTCAGTGTATCAATTTGAAATCAGCACCGAAAACTGGAAAACCCTACCATCATGCCCATACACTGATTCTGGGCTAGTTGTTTTGGAAGATAAAGTAACTACTGTTGGTGGATGGGATGGATCTTGCACATCTAAGAAATTATTTGCATTAACACTCGGTAGCTGGGTTGAAGAATATCCTGCAATGCATACTGAACGAACCCGTCCTGCGGCTGTTTCTACACCTGATGGTAACCAACTCATTGTTATAGGTGGATATGTTGGTGGTAGTACACTTGCTACAGTTGAACTCTATCAAGTGAATACTAGAGCATGGTATAAACTCCAAAATCTACCACAACCTCTCCGTTACCCTTCTGCAATTATATTCAAAGATCGTTTTATTGTACACGGAATTGATGGTAATGGTTACTACCATCCCATTCTATCCAGTGCTCAATTGAACTCATCAAAATATGCAAACTGGAAAAGTATCCCCCCTCCTCCAGTGGAAGAATCGGCATTATCTGCTCTCCGTGGACAATTAATTATTATTGGTGGCCGTCGAAGCTTTTCAACTGTCAAGTCGATTTACCAGCTTGTTGGTAGAGAGTGGAAGGAAATTGGCTCAATGAACAGTGAAAGGCGCATGTGCTTGGTAGTAAGTCTAACACCTGAGAATATAATGGTTGTAGGTGGAATTGATATTTGGGATAGTGTCGATAGTGTAGAGATTGTGTATTGATAAAGCAATGTTTATTCAGTGTGGATGTCAGTTTTTCACGTGAAGGTAGCTATACTTACTAAAAAACTACCTGTGCATGCCTTGCCTTGCACCTCGTAATATGCATACTCAGTTTGGAGTTGGGCATCTTTGGTGGTTTAATTACCCTGGTCTGCTCCTACATACTGAGTAAGAGTTTTCCCTTCCAGTCTTGCGCCAGATTACGTATTCTTGTGCATTATCCATGTGTGTGTATGTGTATGCGTGTGCATGCTTCATGTTTTACACCATAATGGATATATGATACCTGTGTCTGTATAAGTAACCACAAGTGTTTGTTCAGGTATTTCTGTGAATTCGTGTACACATGTGCATCACTGGTGGAAGTGAAACAATGTGATGTCACCTATAGAGTAGCCTGCATGCATCAATTTCCTTCTGTGGTACACCTTTCCTCATTCAATACACACGAAGCTACGAAGCTAAATGCATGGTAGGGTAATGGTCCAATGATGTAATGCAAAGACTCCCCCAGACGCTGCTGGGAACTTTATATTGGTTTTTAACCAAAAAGTGAAAACTGAGATGGGAATTTACTAATAATTGCTTGAGTCCGCAAGCAATGTGTACTTCAGAAGTAAGCTATCTCTGCCAGCTACATAATATAGTCTTAGAGATGCATCAGACTTATTAGTGGTGTATTCGGATGTATAATGGTATGTTCTGTTAGTGCTCTGTATGACATGGCGTAGGTTAAAGCCCACCAAAGGCAAACCTGTTAGTAGTGTCCTGAATTGTAGCACTTGCAGTTATCATGCATGAGCTGCCCTGTTGGCCAGTAGCTCAATGGGTAGAGGATTTTGTCTAGATAGAGCAGAGGGCCATGGGTTAGAGTCCTAGCTAGGGCAGCTCTTGGCAGGAGGAAGAACTCAGCCAGCGACTAAGAGATTTAGAGACTCGGAGAAATGTCAGTCCTGAATTAAGTATTTGGATGTGTATGTCATAGCATTTTTAACATGTGGGGTAAGATAATATTATAATATTTATGTACTTCGCCTGGACCCTCGAAAATTCCACAGCTTCAATCCCAGAGTTGACTATGTTCCATAAGGCATTAGTAAAGTATGCAGTACTTGTATCAACTGTTTACACAATGACTTCCGTCCTGGTTTAACTTGTGCTCCACAACTCTTCCAAATAATGCACACCTATTGTTTTGCACTGTTTATATCATAATCCTAGACCCAGAACTGTATCTATCTGTAAGTTACAGGTGGAAGAACTCAGCCAGCGTCTAGCTCGACTGAGATTTTTAGAGACTCAGATACCAAATGTCAGTCCTGAATTGATATATATATTTGTATGTTGATTCACTAATTGTTCCTTTTTCAGCCTGTTTTTCGTCCGAGGGGTCTACTTCCAACTCCCAGACAAGAGCCAATAACTATTGTAGAACCTAGGCCCCTTCCACAAATGCCCAGTTTTCAAGGAAAGGTATGTAAACAATATATTATGTCGATGTGCTATCAATCGTCATGTTTACCAAAGTACAGTAACATTACACCTCTTTGCTTACGTAATTCTCACGTGATCTGCATTAAAAAGTGCCATGTAGCTAAGCAATCAAGCCAATGAACGAACGTTCGTTCGCTCTTTTGTTGTCTTGTTGTACACAACAACACGAAACTGGTAGTATAATACCTCACTTCCCATACTCAGATATGGTGCACTCTCTCCCCTCAGCTCACTTTTCATTCTCGTCCTATGGGCAGAGCACCACGGACAATGTACTATGGATCTGCAACAGCCGACTTGAGTTTTGCGTATTTCGTACCAGGCGGCTCAACCTCGGTCTATAGATATGACTTGGTTACGGATGTATGGCAGCAACTTCCTTCATGTCCATACGTTAATGCTGGACTAGTCATCGCTGAAAGAAAACTGACTGCTGTGGGAGGGTATGATGCATCTGTGCATCGATCTACTAACAAACTATTCACAATGTAGAGTTGGAGTTGGGGCATTGGGCTCAGAAATACCCTTCAATGAACACTGCACGTTCCTCACCTGCAGCAGCAGTTCTTAATTTTCGTGGTACTGAGATTACCTTATTGTGATTGGGGGAAACGATGGTTTTGGTTGGACTACTGCAGTTGAACTATTCGATATTGAAAACAGAGTGTGGTTCGATCTAACAGACTTACCACAACCGATCCCCAACCCTTCAGCTGCAATAATAGTTGGTATGTTCATCCATGTGACTGGATATGGTGCCTATGGTTACACAGGTTCTTTGTTTCGAGCTCTACCAGTACCACATAATCCACTAGTATCTCCTCCTTCCCTATCCTGGAAACCTCTCCCTTCTCTACCAGTTACATGGTCAAAACCGATCTCAAAACTTTCAATTCTATTAATCATTGGTGGGAAGGGAAAGAGCTCGCTAGTTACCTCCATTTACCAGCTAATGAATGAACAGTGGGTGGAAATTGGCTCTATAGCCCTCAACAGAAAAGATTGTTTAGTAACTAACAGTTCATCTGTCGCAAGTGGAAGAGTCCTTGTAGTTGGAGGACGGTGCGTAGCAGATGGATTAATGCAGCCTTTGGACCTTGTTGAAGACTGTACGTTCATTTGTGCTACAGTGCCGCCACTAATTGGAGCAAGGCCCTACCAACCATTTTCAGGCATCTGGAATCCATACTACAGCTAGGGACTACCATCCATCAGGGACGAAACAAACTAAAAATAAGAGTGTGATGATGTATTACACTTTTATCACTGAGGTTTTATCTACCGACGCTATATGTGTATGGATGGCACGGGTGAAATCTCACGTGATCCACGTACGAAACAACACCTTACAACTCGCCTTAGCCTAGCTATGCCTTCAAAATACACCAAAAATCACTCAGCCCCATGCCATATCTACCTATAATTAACCCTCGAGGGTTATTGCAGTCGGTCTGTGTGTGTACGTGTGTGTGTGTGTGTGTCCGTGTGTCCGTCCGTCCGTCTGTCCACCGTTTTTCTCGGTAACCGCGGCAACTCTGAGCGTGAAACGTGGACATATTTTCAACTAGGAGGAATGCATGGTAAAATAAGATTCTGGAGCCGTGAAGCCCGGGGAAGCTGGTGAAACGGACGGCTGCCGAGGTGGGTGTGCGTCAAATAGAGATCGCGAACCATCGTTGTATATAGATGCTAGCGATGCTTTGCGTGGAGCCGGAAGATTTGCTGGTCTGGATGTATTGATGGTACAGTTGAGTAGGATCGAGATTTCCGGTGAAGTGAGAGCAGCACACACCCCAGTGAATCCGTTCAGTGAAGGAGTCACGTAGCTATATGAGGTATCTGAACATGTGGTGTTTTGCTGGTAACTAGTATTGAACGCGCATGTGGCAAAAACTGACGTAGTGTAGCTAGTAGCCACAGGCTGCTGAAATAAAGAATAAAGTGGCGAGGGTTATGCACTTTCAAGTGCTTTTCATTATATACATGGTTTTTCTACATGTGCAATTCTTGACACGAGAATCCGCTCATATGCGATTTCACCATTTTCGTGTCATCTTCTTGAAGTAGCTAGACAGTCGCATGTTTCTACTCACATTTTCTTTCAGATCATGCCATTGCTCTGCTCTGAGACAACTACATTTAAAAAGTAAAATAATTAAAAGCACAGTTGCACAAGTGCATAATTATTAAGGACCAGATCACATGAGGTATCTGAACATGTGTGCATGAATCTAGAAACCAAGAAGTATGTCATTCTATTATTAGAGGGTTGGTAGACGTATAGGGATGGCAAATCTCACAGTGATCTGCATACAAACAGTCTCAAAACTCTGTGAGAATGACTCGATATTCCTTTACCATGGCAAAGAACAGGAAAAATATTTTTTCTGATATTTAGGTTTTGGCTTCATTACATCATTCTTGTACAAAAAAAACTGACACACAGTGTCTCCTATTTTGAGACTTGAAATGTTGTGTATATATTATGAGAGGATAGGAGATGGACACGAAAAGTGCATGAAACTATACAACAACACATTCTTCAACAGTACTACCTTGTGTGCCAAACAGCTCATATCCACCCACATCCCCATGATGATCATCGTCCGGCTGTGAGTGGACTGCGATACGAAACAGTAGTTCCTACCCCACTAGGCATAGAACCACATCCATCCACCCACTGTCCATCCACTAGCTGGTGAATGGAGTTGACTGATGACCCATCTTGCCAACCACCAATGAGTACTAGCTGTCCACAGAGAGTGGCAGCTGTTGACCATTCCACTGGTAGAGAAGGGAGAGGTTCCCAGGATAAGGTGAGGGGTGATGTGATTGGTTGATCACTGGATGGTAGGGGCTGCAAGAGTAACCGACGAGTAAGCCATTACCATCAATGTCTATCACATTCACACTGATCACCACATATTGTGGCTGCAGGAAGGTGAGACGTTCTGGTAAGTATGTTAGTTGTACCATCTTCTATCTTCTGCTCTTCACTTGAATAGTTCAACGGTAGGTCTCCACAACAAAGATCACGAACCCACCCCCAATCACAATGAGGATTACATCATTAAGATGTACTAACTATAGCAGGAGAGGAACGTGCAGTGTGTCATTGGGTATTTTTTCAACAACCCCTTTTCTCTGTTGTAGTGTGTGTAATTGTTTATGTAAGCGACGAGATTCCATCATTCCCCCCACAGCAGTTAGTTCCCTGTCACTAATGACTAGTCCTGAGTTCCTGATACGGACATGAAGAAGTTGCTGCTCCCATATTGTTCTCGGTACACATTCATATTGGTAGTAAACATGAGTGGGAAATCCTGTGTGGGGTGAAGTATGCAAATCGACATCAGTTGTTGGCAGAGTTTCCTCTCCTCAATCCACATGGTGCTGGCTTCTTACGATGCCACTGCCACAGTGAGCTGAGGGGCGATCACCATGACATGTAGAATGACATCATAATCATCAAATCAAGCAGCAAGCTGTTTTTATGAATAGCGTGAAGTGGCGTAATTAGTATGAAGGTGAGCAGTTCAATTTTCGCGCATGAGTTGTGGGTATATAGAATGGTGTGGGTAGACAAAAGGTCCCATACATCTATGGTGCTCATGCCTATCCTTAAGTTAGAGCGTTGGTAAACACTCTATATAGAGGTGCACGGTGTCAAATCTCACGTCGATCTGCGTTGGACACAAACACATCCAGACTTGAGTGACAGAATGACTTTCCATAGGCCGTTAAAAAATCACATAGCCCAATTGTACCCATATATAACGCTATACATGTACCAAAGACATATTCATATGCACACCTTCAGTTCGTCCATGCGAAGAATTCGCTCATACAAGGTTTCACGATTTTTCATGTCAGTCATATTTTTCATCTTCTTTTTTAGACCAGCTATCGGAACAAGTGGTACGTTGCTACATATACAGGAATTCTTTCATAATGACGCTGAATGATGCAATGAATGACTCAGTAGTCGGCAGTTAGGGGCGTTTCCTGATGCGCCCGCACACACAGATATATAGTACAGATGCGGGCTGGGTGCCTCCGCTGTAACAAGGGGTAATTACACACCCAATGCTACATGACACCATCCCTCTATCTTTGTGCTATGGCCAAAAAATTAGGGATGGTGTCATGTAACTTTGGGTGTCTTGCTGTGTAATACCCCTGTTTATTACCCTTTCATGTTTTGAGCCACCCCTATATCCCCCTTTACTTTGAAAGAAATGATTTTTCCACCTGTAAGGTTAGGATGATCCTAAACAGTGAACACCATTAAAACTAAAACAACCCCATTCGTATATCCTAGCATTATATTGAAGACAAGCACAGCAACTCATTTTCACAACCAGTCTATATAATTATGTCTTATCTTTCACAGGGATGGTTGTAGAAACATAGAGATGGATTGACACATATACACTCAATAACCTTTGCGCAGTTTTCAACTCTGGGACCTGAAAATGGACTGGCTGTAGAAATTACCTTGTCACCTCGTAAATAGTTCCAGAGGCAGAAGAGTGTGCAGAGAAATTTCTCCAGACGACTAGGGATTTGGCTTACAGTCTCTCTGTATCTGTAGGAATAATGAATCATCCACACGACAGAGCCTATCATGTGACTTACACTGGCAGTTTCACTAGCTCAGTCATGGGAGGACCATCTCTCATGGAACAAGAGTTCACGTGATGGTGAAAGGCAGCCAGCTCTCCTGCCAGCCACACCCTCTGTCCTCGTGGCGACAGAACACACGCAGTGAGTTGACTTGACGCTGGAAACGTTTATTCAACACTGTGCTCCAATCCTCCTCCTTGCAGAGCGGACATGCCCCTCCTTCTCTCTGTATTCTGCTGGCAGCTTCCTCTGAGATATGATTACCACAGCATGATGTGAGGTGAGGATGGAGCAGAACACCAGTTGTCACTGGACAGAAGAAGTCATCAGATGGCTCCTCAACAAATGGATAGTCCTCATCCACTGACGACACTTGCCCTGGCTCCTTGCTAAAAGAGTGCATTTTAAATCTTTACCAAAGATGGACCAAAATGTTTTACTACCTTTTGTTGGCAGCATTAGACTTAGCAATTGCCGAGCTGTCACTGGTTGAGGATGGAGCCACCTGCATAGAGAAAAGACTCTGATGTCTGGTTGATAATGCATCGTAGGACCACACAATGCAATGCAAAGTCACAGAACATTTGTGAACATATTATGACGCAAATCGTTCGGCCTTCGCGACGTGTGAGCAAAATGCAGGGACTAAAAAAAACCTTTTCGGTTATCTGCTCGTTGCAAAACTTCGTGTCACAGGCTCAGGCGAAGTAATGTGAACCAGGCTCAAGACAATGACAGCCTACTTACTGGTCTCTGAGCAGGGATTTGGTAGACACAAATCTGTGTTGAGGTGTGGATGTCTAGTCTAGTGACACTGAACTCCTTGAAAACAGCTAATGCTCTCTTCTTCCTCAACATCTCCACCACTGAGACAGGTAGGAACCAAGTAACAGTGAAAGATCCAGTCGCAATGCTATTTAACATCATGGCACATGTCTGAAGGTCGTAGCTGCTGGCATATCGTCTCCTGAACTCTCTCCACGTCCTCCAGTGTTGCAGTCTCGGGCCAGTCAAACTTGACTACCATCTTCTGAAGCCAGGTGGAGGATCTTCATCGAGTGGCCGAGGGTCAGCCTCACAGAACAGGACCAATGTCGTACGCTTTTTAAACCCTTCCAGATCCTTCTTGTAGGCGGTCATCTCACTAGCAGTCGTGTTGAAATCCTTATGTTTCTTAGTCAGTTCTCCGATCAGGTGGTCGAGCAGATCAGGTGCGAGGTAGTTCCAGTAGAAGTTGAGAGATCCAAACAGCTCAAGATGGTCTTCGCACTGTCGAAGAGCCTTGTGATTCTCTTTGAGAAATATTCGATGCTCGTGTGTCCGAATGTTGGTGAGAATGTAGACAACCGTTAGGACGGCAACACAGCACTTCTGTAGGCCTTGGATTGCAAGGTCCTTTAGAGCGTTGAACCTCTCGTGAAGGCTTTCGATTTCAGTCTCCACTGCCGTAACTATTAGAAGAGTTACAGAGATAACTACAACGCAAGGTGCAGTTTACTCTTACCATCAGCAGGGTTCAGTTGAGCGGATGGCTTTGATTTGACCTCATCATCATCACCAGCAGTAGTGTTGGCTGCAGACTCTGTGGTGTCTGAGATGATAGAGACATTACCAGTTAGAGAACTAAATAGTATGAGGTGAGCCGATGCATGGTGACACTTACCAGTAGTAGTCTCATGTACCACATCGCGTGTTGCGGTAGAGTCAGGGAAATGAGCTGCTTCCACCCTCGCAGCTAGACCTGGTAGGTTGACAGAAGGACTCCTGAGAGCTTCCACAATGACCCTCCATGTCGGTCTGGGCTGGATTTGCTTCGTGAAGGCAAGAAGAATGTGCAGTAGACGCTCTTTGGGATCCTGGTATTGGCGGTGAATCGCCTCCACCTCGTGTGGCGGCAATAGCTTGACCCCGAGCACTTTGGAGTGGTTCTGCGCCTCCACAAGCTCGTCCAAAATTCCCGAGACGTCGTCTGATTTCAACGTCTCGTCGACCGCTGGGGCTGCGCAAGCAACTAACATTATACAGCATATTCACCCTCTGTAATTGCCCACCTTCCGCCATCTGTAAGAGCAGTATGAGTAGTTTGCTGTGGAGAAAGCTGATCGGCTCTGTTGTTTAGTTGTTTACCTTGTATCCTGGCAACGCCCCCCTCCGCGCGGCACCGCCCTCCCTCACGCATGTGCAGGAGTAAATTTGCGCGCGCGCGCAGCGTTAAAATCACGTGATTTTTTACGCATCGATCACACACGTACACGTACGTGTGTGTACATACGTGTACCTTCAACTACATCATCATTATAGACACACCACATAGAGAGCAGAATGATATATACAACACACATAAAGACAGTACAATTACTATGATTGAACAAAGGCATATTGCAACTGTACACATGGTAATATGATGTATGGTGCATAAGTTACTATGACTACAGATGTGAGGGGTGTGTCAATAATACGATGTCTTGTAGATTGTGACATTGATAGCAAGGTTTCCATTGTCTCCGAAATGAGAAGCCATTGCAGTCTCGAATATTAGGCAATCGTTGCTGCAAATGACACTTGATATACTGCAGTGGATGCTGAGAAAGGAAAGAGAGGGGTATGTCATGGAGTTAGCAAATGATGCTTTATACAGTGGAACCTCTGATAAGGGACCCTCCGAGATAGGAACGACCTCTCTACAAAGGACACTTGTTTCAAACCCATGCTAATACTTGTAGTGTATTATCTGACATCTGAGATAGGGATGACCTCTCTACAAGGGACAAAATCATCGGCCTCATGGTGTCCCTTGTTCGGAGGTTCCACTGTATATTTATTAGAGAGGAAAATGGAGGTAAAACGAAATGGCAAATAGTGTAAACTTACATGTATATAAGGGACTGAAAGGTAGTTAGTGTATGTATGTACAAGTATGTTTATACCTTCGAGGCTTTGCTTCCCATGTTAGCTTTCTACCATGACCCACCAGCTCCAACTTGTATCTTACGAATAAAGAAAACAACAGAGGAAGAAAGGGTGTAAGTAAGGAGAGAAAAGAGAAAGTAATATTCAATCGCAACTTTGCACACCTACACACAAACCAACACACCTGAAAGCGTTGGCCTCTTTCTCCGTCCCTATCAACTGAACGACGGCGAAGAACTGCTGGTGTCCCTCGTGTCTCTCCTGTTTTTCCAGAACCAACATGAAGTAGTGGTCGAAACAGCATTGCATCATCACCCAGTCGACAGCCCCGGGCAGGTGAATGTCTGTCGCCAAGAACACAATGTCTTCTCCGCCAAGTGTTGTAATGGTCTTGTGAGCGGTGAGTAAGTGGTTAAGAACGTCGTCAAGTGGACCTTCCCACTTGCAAGAGGTGCCCGGGCAAGGGCATGCGTACGGGCGGCGTTCACAGTTCGTTTCATGGATCCTCTTTTCGGTGTGCAGCAGTCGCATTGTGCATCCGTTACTGGCGTACTTGCACGGGAACTTCACCGTTTCGGCGACTTTCTCCATGGCCAGGTTCCGTACCGTTCCGAGGCGGCCGCGACAACTAGGACAACACTGGACGCGCTCTTTGCAAGTGTTGCAGATCAGGTGACCGCTCTCGCACTGGTAGATGGGTGGTAGGACGTAGTCGAAACAGACTGGGCATTCGAAGAGGGCGGCAAGATCGGCTGGTTGGGAAGAAATGGCGGGAACTATCGCAGCGGCAGCTGCTACTGTGGCTGCAGTCGGGGTGGGCGTTACTTGGAACGCCATTTCCCTCTCTCTCTCTTTGGAAGCAGGAGAAAGAACGATAGATACAGCCAACGAATACAAATTGGGGAGGGGTACGAATTGAACAGTAGGTGGGGTTAGAGATGAAGGACAAAGTTGAAGGTAGAAGGACCACAAGGTGTCTTTGAGAAGTTTGAAGTTGACAAAGCAGTGGAGTTGGCTGAAGGTTTGACTAAGTGAAGAACACTGGTGCAGAGGAGAGACATTGAAGACAGGAGGTAGCCGCAGTTGGCTCAAACCTCACCGGTAGAGGTCCTCGGACCCCGTCTCAATAGAGAAGGACGGGGGGGAGTTGGGGGAATAACAGAAAAAGGTAAGTTCCTGTGGGTAAAAAAAAACAACCATTAGAGACGTTATAGGGGGTACATGGTACACCGTAAGCCAGCGCCAGCACTTCACAACAGTACTGGCTTACCTTCTCTCTCCGGTACGGAACTCCAGACAAACGATGCGCCGACGAAAGCCAGACTTTCTCCGGGTTTTCTCTCCCTTTGTGCTGACTCATGTGATTCAGCACGTGATCTCACGCGATAATTATATCTCACGTGACAGTCAGCAGAGTTACACGTGATATTACGCAGGAGACAACACCGCTAGAGAAACAGGACCGAGAAGCGTGCCGAACTGAAAGAGATCAGAGGAGATAGATGGCTAATACGGCGGACGACTGGCTCTATAATGATGATCTTGACGTGTCTTTGCCCGGAGTAAGAATAGATATCCCAGATCTCGCCATAATGTTCATGATCGTACAACATAAATGCATCTTATTACCGCTCATCTCTTTGCTTTCTCACTTTATCCGCCCTTTGGACACCATGGGGATCTGCTTAAGTAAGCAGAAATTGATGTATAAAGTATTAGTGCCTACAAAATTCTTATGGATTTATGGAGGCTCTGGACACCTTTATGAACTGGTTCAGTGTTAATAATATGCGAAAGTATTAGAACTTTATCAAAACGAGTGTTTCTTGATATATTATAGAGAGGTGTCCTTTTTACCAGCACACCCCATCCCCTTGTCCCCTTACAGCGTGGCCGGCTGGACACCGACTCTCAAACACTGGATGGAGAGGATCTACTAGACGACATGCTAACTGCTCCGTCTTCAGCCACCCTCAGAACTGACACACCCACCAATGATGACGAGGTAGGAATGTAGGGCGAAATCTCTTGTAGAAATGTAGGGCGAGATCTCTTGTAGAATGTGTAGGGCGAAATCTCTTGTAGAATGTAGGGCGAAATCATATTAGGTAGATGAGTGAATTTAGAGGTTTTAGGTGAATTATTGTGGGTGGAAACTGTGGATAATGTTACAATGTGCCCCAATGAATGGTTTTGCTAATGAATGTGGGAGTTCCCTTTACTGCGTTACAGAATAAGTAAGTGTGTGCCACAATTTGCAAGACAGTATATTATACTCCTTATTCGTGTGTTAATTTGACTGTGGACCATCTGTGAAATCTGCACAATTTGTAATTGACGAGAATTGCTTTTTAAATGTCCGGGGCCAAAAATTGTTTTTATGGTGACTTACACTTATTTTCCCATCTCCCCATCACTACAGTTGCTAGGGCCAATCTCCCATGATACAACTGACACCATTATTGAAGGTCTGTCGTCACATGTCATGACATTCCCAAATCAATTTGTGTGTTTTTCGTTTCTTCATCCTTACCCCATTCATGAATAAACATCATTTTCAATATTTCGCAGTTTCAGTTCCTACAATTAGAACAACTTGTACCTATGCATCAACAATGTGTGTATACAGCCTCAGTCATGAAATGAACATCATTTTCAATATTTCACAGTTTCATTTCCTACAATTAGAACAACTTGTACATACACATCAACAATGTGTGTATACAGCCTCAGTCATGAAATGAACATCATTTTCAATATTCCATACTTTCAGAACAACAATGTGTGGTATATATATGTGCAAGGCACCTCCGTCATGAATAAACATCATTTTCAATATTTCACAGTTTCATATCCTACAATTAGAACAGCTTGTACTTTTGCAGAAACATGTGTACAGAAATGGTATTATACCTAAGTCATGAATTATCAATATTTCACAGTTTTGGTTCTTAAAATTAGAACAGCTTGTACTGTTTTAAAGTATGAATTAGTCACTTCATCAAATCTCATAATGTGTACTTAAATTACAGGACTGATCCTCTTTGATCATTTCATATTTCACTTTCCTTTCTTTTAATTAGAGAAGCGTAAAGTGAGATGTACCATGCCCGTTTTTCAATATTTCATGTTTTGTCTAAATATTGTCTCTCTGAGTGTGTGCATTTGTGTATACAAAGTACATGTATATACTTGCAATGATTTTGTGCCACTAAAACCTTTCACTTCATAATTTGTATCTGCTGCATTCTCCTCGTGACCACACCCACATTAATTGACGGTGGGCGTGGCTAACCTCAGACTCTGGCTCCGCCCGTTACAACGCTGACCGCAAGGCCAGGACCATCCAAGCCAGAATAGACGCCAACCTCACCTCTCAGGGCGTTGCCATGATGCACGGCGGACTCTCCATCTTCTCACGGGAACCAAACCGCAAGAATTCATTCTACATCGGGAACATGAACTGGGTATGACGTACTAGGTGCTTATTTCACTTTCATTTCCATTTCTCAACCTTGATTTTGCTTCTCCCAACTGCTGTATTTTGATGACTCCTGAACTGTGTTCTAACCTATTTTACTTTCACTTTCTCAACTTGTTTACCTCCCATAAACTGCTGTATTATGATGAAAAAAAACCTATTTTAACTTTCTCAACTTTTTCACCTCCCATAAACTGCTGTATTTACTTTAGTTTGGCATAATATTATTTGCTTGTTGAGGTATTTGTGTTTTTTTTCATTTTTCATGCATAAGTGAACCTTTTTCCTTGAATGGCATTTACAAGAACTACAATTTTGTTTCATGCATTTAAAATCTGCATTACTTTTGTATCTTGGACATTATACCTCCCTTTGTGCCTACTACCATTTATACCACACGTGTAAAATTTATCCTTACACCTGACTCTCTTGTAATTAATGGAGTTGTGTATATTTTTCCTGGACAGTGCTAAAGTTCTATTATGACTCATGTGTATGTATACTAATGTACCGGAGTAAACAGTGTGTGTTGAATGAATGCAGTGGACCACCGACCTCCACGTGATAGCTACAGTCAAAGATCACGGACTGGGGGATGTGGTCTGTCTCAAGTTCTTTGAAAACAGAGCTAACGGACAGTCTAAAGGGTAGGAGACAGCTTGGTGGTGTCCCCAAACCTTCTCCCCTCCAATTTCCATTGTTACTTCATTTAAGACTAAGTTTTGAGTCACGTGGTTACTCAATGCATAGTACGCCCCCGCAGATTTCATGATGCAAAACTTAGTCTTAAATGAAGAATCAACCATCTGTTTTCGTCCGTTGCAAATCGATTGTGCCAGAATTCATACCGATTAAGCCCCTTCTGTACTACACTCTTTGTAAGTGCTGCGGTCAAATACAAGGCATGTGGAGTTAGCAGCTGTGGGGACCAAAAGATATTTATAGCATTTACAGGGAATATGGGCGTACATAAAGGCTGAATACACAAAATGTTACTAAATACTGAACTAAACAACGAGGCCGCCCAGTGCAAGAATGTAATGTGTCCGTTTTTTAAATATTTACTGCCACGATCTTCTGAATGCGGGATTTTTCTGTCGTTTCTGAAAGAGCACAGAATTGAACTGCTCGTTCACTTGTCAAACATTCATTGCTAATTCGTATACCCTCTGCCCTCCTCTCTATCCAGGTACTGTTTGGTTGAAGTGGCGTCAGAGTCACTAGCTCAGAACGCTCCCGACAAACTGGGCAACATGTAAGACAACAACATCCTACCTTTACCATTTCTCTGATGTTACATGACGTTGTGAGAGACAATATTGCATGCAACTTCACAAGATCCACACAATGTGATTGTATCTGCTTTACTGTTTATATCCATGTTACTATTTATATCTCCCCCACGCAGTGATATACATGTTACTATTTATATCTCCATGCGCAGTGAAATCCATGATCGTAAGCTGATGATAGCCCACGCTCTTCGGATCAGTCCTCATCAGTTTGAATCAAAATGCAATCAGGCGAAGGAACAAGGAACGACACCCGTATTTAGCAGCAATTCGTTGTCTTCGTCGCCCGGGCAACTGTTGGGAAGTACGGGGAGTTCTGGACTGGCCAAGACCAGTACTGTGAAGGTGAGGAAAGCAAGAGACAATAGCGAGAGAACAGAATGGGTAGAGAGAAAGTTTTGTAAGCATCCTCCTCTTCCCCCCACACGCACACACGCAGACCACTCTTCCAGGAGTGATTCCACCACTACCCAACCCTATCTTCCCCCAACCTCCTCGCCCTCCTACCATACCAGGTACACATCAGCAAGAGGACATTAATAGTTATGTAGGCCCATGATCTCTACGTGCATTGAGTTTACCAAGTGCATGCAGTGGCGTTTCATTGCTCAACCTGCACAAGCGGAAAAACAAGCGCAATGTAAATAGACTTTGTGCGCATTCATGCATGTACTATTTTCTCTGACGCACAGGGTTCCCCACACCGCCTTTTGCCGGCCTGAGGCCACCTGGACTGCCTGACTTCGCCAGCATGGGGCTGCCGGGTATCTTCCCTCCCCCCTTTCCCCCCATTCCCAATGCTTCGTCTATTAACCCCTTCACCTCCAGACCTGGAGGACTGGTGAGCTAAACGAATAAAAATACAAAGTAAAAACTCTTTATATACTGTGTTGTACGAGCCTCTCTACGCCGTGCGAGCCTTCGTGCAGTCTCTACGCACGCCGTGTGAGCCTTCTTGCGGTCTCTACGCCATGCGAGCCTTCGTGCGGTCTCTACGCCGTGTGAGCCTTCGTGCGGTCTCTACGCCGTGCGAGCCTTCGTGCGGTCTCTACGCCGTGCGAGCCTTCGTGCGGTCTCTACGCCGTGCGAGCCTTCGTGCGGTCTCTACGCCGTGCGAGCCTTCATGCGGTCTTTACGCCGTTTGAGCCTTCGTGCGGTCTCTACGCCGTGTGAGCCTTCGTGCGGTCTCTACGCCGTGCGAGCCTTCGTGCGGTCTCTACGCCGTGCGAGCCTTCGTGCGGTCTCTACGCCGTGCGAGCCTTCGTGCGGTCTCTCTACGCCGTGCGAGCCTTCGTGCGGTCTCTACGCCGTGCGAGCCTTCGTGCGGTCTCTACGCCGTGCGAGCCTTCGCGCGGTCTCTACGCCGTATGAGCCTTCGTGCGGTCTCTACGCCGTGCGAGCCTTCGCGCGGTCTCTACGCCGTATGAGCCTTCGTGCGGTCTCTACGCCGTGCGAGCCTTCGCGCGCCGTATGAGCCTTCGCGCAGTTTCTAAGCCGTGTGAGCCTGCGTACTGACCCATCTATGCCGTGTTTCGCGCAGTCTCTATATATGCCTCCCTCCCTCCCTCCGTCTCTTGCAGCCCACTCTACCACCCATGCCCCCAGCAGCCCTGGCAGCTCTGGGCAGCGCGGGGGCTGCAGTTGGGAGCGATGTGACAAAACTGACGGCTCCTCATCTCAACCCTGCCTTCCTGCAGGACATGAGTCAGAGTGGAGCCAATATGGTCAGTTTTAGCTCTCTGTATGTTTGTACATATTGTCAGCCTTCAGTCTATATATCAGTCATGTGCTCAAACCCTGTTAACCCAGCATAAGGACATCCCTGAAATAACTAATGTTGGGACACCTTTATTGACAAAAGGACACCGTCTAATCCGGACACTAGTAGGGCTACTTATATCAGGGGTTGAATTGCATGCAAGAACTGTTCTTGGGGAAAGAGAAGGTGTCCTTATTAGAGAGGTGTCCTCATTTCAGGAGTGTCCTTAGAGAGGTGTCCTCATTTCATGAGTGTCCTTAGAGAAGTGTTCCACTGCAATGTATTGTGCAGTCAGTTTAACCTTGTGAAACCGTTCTGATGTATTTCCATAGGCTGAGATGCTGGCACATGCAGCTGCAAGGTTCAGAAGCCAAACAGCTGCCTTCTCCAGCATGAGTGTCAGCGGAGGTCGAGCCAGCCCTGGTGACAGGGGGAAGTCCCTCCCTAATCACCCCAGCGACGAGGAGGTCTCGGAGACCAACCAGCGGAATAAGGCTATCTCTAGCAGTGCCATCACTAGAGCCATGTCTGATGCCCAGGCTGGTGAGTGGCGGGCTCCAATTAGAATACACACTATTGTGGGCTCTAATTAGAAATACAACACCTGTACTTGTGTTGCAGTGTGTATATACATAGAAGGCATGTGGGGGGTTTCATTCCCATTATGCTTGCCCTCCTGTGTATGTAACAAAAATGGTGATGATGTAATGATGGCATCATCTCCACACAGGTGACTACGAGAGTGCCATAGATACGTTGAGGATGGCGATAACCCTCATCAAACAGTCAGTCACTGCAAACTCCGAGGCTTCCCAGGTCAGCCTTTTAACTCTTTACCTTCTGTATTACAGTTGTCCATTCCCAGCATGACAATCTTTTAACCCTCCCCCAAATAACCATTCCCAGCATGACAATCTTTTAACCCTCCCCCAACGTTCTTTAACTATTGCCACTGCATTTTAACCATTCTAACCTCTTCCCTAAAGTCGCATGAGTCATACAGCACAAAGTGCGCCTCTTTCTTTTCTAAAGTTGCATCAGACTTGTTTTGCACAAAAGGTTGCACTGTATTTAGTACACATGTTATCCTATTGTCTGTACACAAAAAGTTTCACTGCGTATGTGTATAGTATGTTATCCTCTCCTACACGTCATTTCACCAGATCATGATCCAGTCTCTTCAAGACTGTCTGCAGGGAATGGAGCAGCAGCAGCAGTCCTCCAATGCCAGCAAGTTCGTGCATTCTATTGCCGAGTCTATTACTCATGTTTTTCAGCAAGTTCGTGTACACACCCTGCATCTTCACACACAATATAAAATAATACTGCTCTTACTCGGAACAGTTATTGCATAATTATAATAGGCACCCTTAAAAGTAATAAGGACCCCTCTCTAATAAACACACCTCTCCTGTCCCAAGGATCCCAAGATGAAATCTTGCATGAAAACCGATGCCTGAAATACCGTACATCTCTGCAGATTGAGATTTGGACATTTTCTCTCTTCACTCATTCCCCATTCTTTCTTGACTTGTGCCCGCCTGTCTTCCTTCCTGCATCTCTCCTTTATGTCGTTGTCATCTTCTTCCACTTCTCTAATGCCTGTCTTTCCCCCTCTCCTTCCTCCAGACGCTACAGGTCTTCCGGAGGTGGTATGGGAGGAGGAGGAGGAGGAGGAGGGAGAGAGCACTTGAGCAGTCGACACATCCACGAGACAATGAAAGATAGGGAGAGAGATCACAGAGATCTCCGTGACATGCGTGAGATGAGGGAGATGCGTGACATCAGGGACGTGAGGGATTTCCGTGACGACCGTGCGATGAGGAGTGGCCACAAGATTTCCAAACACCATCGCGACAGAAGTAGAGAGCGGCGAAGATGACGAATACTTAGTTTTGAACTCCTGCTATAATTTTGCATGCAATTTTGTGATTTTGCTTATGCCTAAATGTTTTCATCATGACTTTATATATATTTAGTTTGATTCATTGGAATTACAAAGTACATGTGCTGTAATGATACTGTACTTAGAGAATTCAATAACAAGCCAACTGGACGATTAACTAACTTTTGCCATGCAATGCCACATTGCAAAAATCAAACTCCCATATATAATTTATACTGCTTATTGCACAGTTTCTGCACCGCTTATTGATCGTGTCGCTTTCACTTTCACCAGCTGATAACAAATAATTTAATCATTACAAACACTGACTAGTAGCACTATGCAAAGAGCAATGATAGAATCTTGACTATAATTGTCTCATGATGATGTAACACAGACGTAATCCTACACCGCATCTTCTGAAATAGCTGCAGCCTTGTGGGCATCTGTAAAGGAGAAAAAAACCTGAGCCTTTTGTGTGCTTGATCAAGAGGAAGGGCAAAAATTGGTTCTACCCCATGCCACAACAATATTTAATAGGTGAAGGACACTAATGAGCAATAAGTACAGCTTCGAATACTTTACATACTCCTAACAGGGTGTCCCTTATCTCAAGGTTAAACTGTAGGCCAGATTATTCAACACTATGTACCTCGGGAGCTGTCTTCCTCCATGAGAGGGGAGAATGAAGAGGGGAGAGGGTGAGAGGAGAACAGGACGGGAGACGACGGGCGCATGGGGAGGAAGTCGGAGGAGGGAGACGGCATTCTTCGCGTCCCAACCTTTAGCTTCTTGCTGAGTCTGCGGACTATCTTCCCATGTGACTGGGGCTGTGTGGTGTGCATCAATTAGAGGGGACAAGTCAAGGTGAGGCACAGCACACAGGTGGAAAAACAGAATTTACTTTGACATTGTGAGAGGTTCACACTAAAGGCAGCTGCTAGCATTAGACAAGGTGACAAAAGGAATTAAAAAATACATTAGTCGACTGGTAAAACTGGTTTAGCAAGTTATCGAAACAGGTTGTGTGTATACCTCAGTTGATACTCTTGTGGTTCCCTCTTTCAGTAGGGCTTCAAACTCTGCCTTTACCTGTTTTCTCACCTGAGGAGAAAATTAACACAAAACACAATCAGTAATGCACAACAGACATAATACACTCAGTAATGGCACAACATACATAATACACATAATGTGGATAAATTATGCACAACACAATACACATAATGCACAAAATAAGGAACGGATTATTTGGTGAGCAAGTTCAGAGAACACAATATTTCAACGTGTCATTATTAAGAAGCCCTTCTTTCCCCGAAAGACAAACACAATCAGCACAAATTGATAATCAATCAATAATGCACAACATAATACACATTGTAATGGATAAATTATGCACGAAAGAAGCAACCGATTATTTGGTGAGCAAGTTCAGAGAACACAATATTTCAACGTGTCATTATTAACAAGCCCTTCTTTCCACGAAAGACAAACACAATCAGCACAAATTGACAATCAATCAATAATGCACAACATAATTCACATTGTAATGGATAAATTATGCAACGTGTCATTATTAACAAGCCCTTCTTTCCCCGAAAGAAAATAACACAAACACAAATCATTCTTTGGTGAGGGTTATGTACTGTCGAGTACTTTTCACTTTGCTGTAGTAGTAACTAGTATTGAACATGCATGTGCAAAAGAATGTGGACAAAAGATGTTGGACAAACAGATGTGGACAATACCGGATAAGGTTCAAAACATGAGATATATATAATTATGATGTTAGTTATGATGTTCTTTGTAAGATAATTGGCTGAAATAAAGTTCAGTATAGTGAGCTCATTTAAAAACAAAAATTTCTACTGAATGGAGTGACTTTCCACGTTTAATGCTGTAGATAGTACCATCGATAGCATGCATTGTAAATGGTTCGTCACTCAAGAGCGACGTTGAAGTCATCTCTATGGTTTGGCCCTCAAGAGCGCTGTTGACGTCATCTCTGTGCACGTCTTTGGTCTCCCACATGTCGAGCAAAACAAGTCCCATATGCTCGAACGTGAATCCTTTCTTCAGATGTTGTTTCTCAGTGTAAAGGTGGCTGCAAGCAGATGCTTTGCTTCATCTAGGAATTGTACCGTGTTGCATGTAGTACATCGTGCACACTCATCCTCGCCCTCAACTTTCACAACTCTGCATTTAATGCACGAACTGACCGATTCCCCACTGCAATGACTTCAACTGATGGATCATCTGTTGTTTTTTTGGTGGATATTCCTCATTAGTAACATATCTGCTGAATCTCTACGGAGAAAGCGGCAGACTGGATTATGGCAAACATCGAAGAAGATCAAGTTGTACCAGAAATGGAGGAAGAGCAAGACCCGTACCCCGCAGATGATTATTGTTATGAAGCGGAATTAGTACGTGATTTTCCAATACTCCATGAAGTTTCAACAAAGCTTCACACGTTCGACTGTTTTCTTCCTCCTACTACTTGGTGGTCAGGAAAGAATGGGCTCGGACGACGAAAAGGGCGAAGATGGCCAAATTTTTAGTGACCAAACTGGAAGATAGTGCAAGCTGTTCATTGCAAAGGTCTATCGTAACAAAAAAAACAAAGCGCGCAAGTTATTTATCGCCCGAAGTATCACTGTTATTTATTCGAGTATTTATTTCAGTCGTATTGAATAGTATACCTGAATAGTACACCACATACTATGGCACGCCAACCCCAAAAGAAGGCGAAAAGGCGTATCAAAAGAAATATTACGAGCAGAACAAGGAAAGGAGTATAAAAGTGTCAGGGAAGATAAGAACAAAGCAGCAGCGGGACTTCCTTCGTGCGCATTCCTATCGTTGCTTTTTCACCAACCCACTCCTCCGTCATCCTCCGCAAATGCATCACTGAGGGGGCCGCTGAAGATGTTTGGGCGGAACTCTGCGCAACATACACGTCATTTTACAATGATGCATCAAAGTCCACCCCGGAGCCGTCCGTCCCTGTCCCACTCCTTCTGCGACCTCTATTTCGACACCTCCGCACGACGAAGATGGAGGGTATAAACCTCTTGTCAAATGGGGCAGGGAAGTCGTTCGTTGCAGCCATATTCTCCATAGCATGCGAGAGTCGATACACGCCATTCGTTGTGCCTTATTGTGCCTTCAAGATACACAGAACAAGCGGACCCGGTCGAGGTAAGCCTGTGCTGAATATAAGCGCATGCGCCTTTTCCGGAGCGATAAAATGGCGTCTACCGACATTAGCAATCTCCTCTACTTCGGGCTAAGTAAGGTTGTGATTGCTGTGTAGAGGTCTTCTTTCTCAATATTACAGACCATTCAGAACATAAAGGCTTATATATTATAGACTACGGCATTCACTCTGGTGCAGAACTGTATCTGTGTCTTTCATCACACATTTGTGACCTCTTGTCATCCAACATTGGTTGACAGCATCACTGTTCACTATTTCTATGTGTGCTCTCCATTCGATCACGGCTTTTTTTCCCTCCGTGTTCATCCACTCCTAACCCGCCACCACTCCCTGGTGAACCACTGTGTGTCACTAAATCTCAGTATTTCTGTCACTGTCATTGTCACTATTTCTATTTGTACATCTAATAATGTCTTTCACGCATGCATACATAGCATGGATCGCGGCTGATATACGACGGAGGCTGGGACAGCCTATATAGCTGGTATGACGAGTAGCTAGTCTTCCACCAGATTTTGCGCATGCGCAGTACTTGAGGTGACAGTAGAGTAGCAACTTCCGAACTTTCTTCAGCAGTTTCAGAAAGTTGATCTCAGTCATGTACGTATGCCCTCTTGACGGCATTGTGTTTGAGGTACACGTCTTTCAGCGCAAAAACCTCTAAATCTTCGCTGACCACCAACTGCACTCACAGACATTTGTCATTTTCGCACACTAGTCACTCTCTCATTACCTTCGGGGCAAAATGAAGGAAAAAGTAGGCGTCTTTAAGGAGGGAAATTGGTGGCAAATCAGGTAAAGTGATTTGAACTCACAAATTCTTCTAAGCAAAGCGAGCCCACTATCTAGCAGTGCACGCCAAAATAGTGACATAATGACTACGCTTAGCCATAACATGGCACCCTTCTTTTTACAATGGACTCTGTGGAGCTTTGTGAGAGTGAGAAGAGCCCTAGCCCTAACCAACTGTGTACAGGAGCCCTCGCCCTAGCAGCTCAAGATAGTGAGGAAAAAAAACCAGACTATAAATGTGTGTTTTCTTCTCTTACAGTCGCCAGCGAGGAAGAAAGAAATCGATGACCTGGAGCAACCCTCTTCAAGTGGAGAAGAGCACTCATTTGAGTGGAGGAGAGCTACAAACCCCTCTCCACCTTCAACTTATTTTGGGATAGTGTGCACGTTACAGTACCAGTCACAAATTCTTCTAAGCAAAGCGAGTCAAATGAAGTCCCATTTGTATCAACGTTTCCTGGTAAAAGAAAAAAATCCTTCCTGGCCGGTCAGGGAGAATAACAGCTACTACAAATCCAACTCCAATGAAAACGGAAGCTATCACGACTCCTGTGCAATTGCTCCAGCGCTCAGGAATGGACATGGCCAAAACAAACAATCTTCGCAGCGTTCCGATCAACATACACTCAGGTAAAATTATAGTACACAGGCAGCCAACTCCAAAACGGCGAAAGTTCTCGCAAGAAGAAACTGACGCCATCAAGGCGTACTTTGCAAGGCACCTGGAAGACCACGAGATACCTACTACTACCATCGCAGAATGCAGGGAGTTCTTGGAAGTGCAGAACATGGCACACAGGACTCAAAAGAATATTCAAGACAAATTCAGGACCATCATACGGAGCACATAGGTCTGCATGTGACACACCCCTGCACCTCTTTGGGTATAAGGTTATGCTGAAGTGCAAGTTCCATGCATTAATTTATGAGACAGAATTGCATGAAAAAGGGCCCTGCAGGCAACACAACTGGTACATCCTGTTCTGTAAAAAGTGGTCACTCAAATGCAGTAGGAGCATCCCATAATGTACTGGTTAGGTTTAGGTCCAAAGCCATTGCCCTCCAAATGACACATTATCATGTGTCCACTAATCTTGGTCTGATTCAGTCCAATTTGACCTACATGCACCAAAGGTGTGGTGTAAGTTATCACTGGATTCCTGAATTGTTCCGTCGCATGGATCTTCCAGTGTTCGATGGTGTTCAGGAAGCACTAGAACGTGAGGCACAGAGAGCATATGAAGTGTTGCACCGCTCACAGAAGAGCTGGATACTATTACTGCATGTATAGTAAAAGCAGAGCACCTGAGAATGATTTTATTATGTTCTCCATCTGTTGTAGGTCATTTTTGATCAGGTTTTTTGAGCATAATTTGGCTAGGGCCCAATATTAGCAATTAGGGCTAAGGCGTAGAACTTAACACTAATTTCTACGCCTTAGCCCTAATTGCTAATATTGGGCCCTAGCCCTTACGTGGCCCTAGCCATAAAGTTTACACAGGACTAAAGTACTAAAACCACAATATAAGTACACATGCACTGATTATAAAGCACATTTGTCATCATTCTGCGTTACCAGCGCGACCGACAAACGCGTATTCTATATAATCACAGGAATCCTCCAAACATTCTCTGTTGCATTTCCAGAGATCCTGGGATCATCATAATCCTAGCAGACAAAGGTACTTTAACACGTTGGGCACGGAAGGCCAGTATAATGGCTGTTAATCTTCCTTCGCGCTACGCGGAGAGCCACTATAGTGGCCACGTAATTCACGTAAAAGGTTGTGTGTGTGGATTGCTGGAATGGCTGCTCTAGCGGTGTTGGCTATAAGATCCCACAAGGAGGATTTACAGTGGCCATGACGGAACTAGTACAGCGGTGGAGGGAAAGGAAGCCAAAACACATGTGCCAACTGCTTGAGGCAGGTTGGACTCCTTGCTTATTGACGAGAAACTAAACATAACGCACGATTTAAAAATCATTCCGCGTAGACAACGTTGCGGGTGTATGCAATAAACGCAGAAAAAAAGATCAAGGCTGTGAGTTTTACAACAGGTAAAGTATTAACTAACAGTCACTTGAGGTTCAGTTAGTTCATTACATGGAGAAACTGAAGAGAGCAAAGGTTGGACCAGAGGGGAGGTTGACCAAGCTGGACCACCTCCATGCGCTTCATGGAGCTCCATGTAATCGTGGAAGACAAGCACCCTCTTCGCCACAAATTCACTATTACGGAGAGCATTACTTCCACCTCCTTAGTTCATAACACTGGTATAATAATTATTGTGCTCTTTCTCCCACTTGACCAACTCGGCTTGTCTGCAGATTCTATAGTATAGTGACGGCTCTCTTACTCCTCTTTGTCTTGTTATCAGATTTTTCAGATGTACATTTTCGTCACACTTATAACAAATTCTCCTTACGGTGAACAAATTATTTATGTCC